CAAGCTATCGGCCTGCTATCGTTCTGGCGATTGTTTGAAGATTTTTGGTTTATATTTTTGATTTTGACCCGTGTATACTATATATAAAAACCTTATGTTTTGAATAGCATGACTTGCAAAGTTTTGTCTAAAAATATTATATACCTGCAAACTAAGACTTGCAAGAATTACCAAGAAATCAGAAAACTGATCTGAGTATTTAAGGTTTTAAAACCTTTTTTATACTGTTCACGATCGGCAATTTGAACCATTATTTGACAAAGTTCTTCAAATATCTTTTTGTTATTGAAACTACCTTTCTGATCTAGTTCTGCAAATTTAACCCAAAAATAATTTTTATTATTCATATTTGTATGATTTATCATATCTAATAGATCTCCAATTTCTTGATTATAGATATATTTAGTGATTGGATTATTTCGAAGTTGAATCTTTGGCATAAATTTTTTTTTATTTTTTGGTTTTCTTGTATTAGATTAAATAACTTAGCTCACAAAGCTTATATTAGTTGTGTAATTACTCATACTACTCATGAAGGGGCTCCTAGAAGAGATATTATTGCAAGAACTCTTTTTCTGACAAAATTTACTTCTGATAAACCCGTAAAATACAAAAAACTTTCTGAAGAGGAGTTGCAATTATTAGATGAAGAATTGATTCATAAATCAAAATGGAAAATTAAAGGTTCAGTAATACGATCAGTTTTATGTGAACAATATACAACTTGTTCATCTCAATTATGTGATCATTGTAAAGAGCTTCAAAATGATCAAGTTTTCAAGGTATATAAATAAATTATTTTTATAATTTAAATAAATAAATAAATCTAATAGTTGTTTTATATTAATAAAAGAATACTATATCGAAACAAGAAAAACCAAAAAATAAAAAAAAATTTATGCCAAAGATTCAACTTCGAAATAATCCAATCACTAAATATATCTATAATCAAGAAATTGGAGATCTATTAGATATGATAAATCATACAAATATGAATAATAAAAATTATTTTTGGGTTAAATTTGCAGAACTAGATCAGAAAGGTAGTTTCAATAACAAAAAGATATTTGAAGAACTTTGTCAAATAATGGTTCAAATTGCCGATCGTGAACAGTATAAAAAAGGTTTTAAAACCTTAAATACTCAGATCAGTTTTCTGATTTCTTGGTAATTCTTGCAAGTCTTAGTTTGCAGGTATATAATATTTTTAGACAAAACTTTGCAAGTCATGCTATTCAAAACATAAGGTTTTTATATATAGTATACACGGGTCAAAATCAAAAATATAAACCAAAAATCTTCAAACAATCGCCAGAACGATAGCAGGCCGATAGCTTG